ACCCTGCAGCTAGCAATGCCTTAGAAACCACCCAGAACCCTGTAGCAACCACATGGCAACATGCTAACAACCACTCAGAACTCCTTAACTCCTCGTAGCAACACCCTAAAACTAGCATTGCCTTAGTAACAATCCAGAACTCCCTAGCAACCACTCAGAATATCTTAGAAATGGCACAGTAATGTGTTAACAACCACTCAGAGCAGCAACATCCTAACAACCACTCACAGCACCTTAGCAACTGCACAGTAACATCTGCATCACACATTGCCTTAGCAACCACCAAAAATCACTAGCAACAACTCAGAACACCTTAGAACATGCACAATAATGTGTTAGCAACCAGTGAGAGCAGCAAGATCTTAACAACCACTCATAGCACCTTAGAAACTTCACAGTAACGTCCTAACAATTACTCAGAACGTCCTAGCAACCTCAAAGCAACACTTTGCACCTAATATTGCCTTAGCAACCACATAGCAAAATGCTAACAACCACCAGAACACCTTAACAATCTTATGCAACACCCTAAAGCAAGCAATGCCTTAGCAACCACGCAGAACATCTTAGAAACTGTACAGTAATGCATTACCAACCACTCAAAGCGGTAACATATTAACAAAAACTCACAGCACCTTAACAACTGCACAACAACATCCTAACAACCACGAAGAACACTTTAACAACCTTAGCAACCACCCAGAACTCCCTAGTACCCACATAGCAAAATGCTAAGAACCACTCAGAACACCTCCACAGCAATACGGCCAAAACCATTTAGAATGTCATAGCAACAATAGCAATGGTAATCTAGTAATTTCCTAACAACAACCCAGAGCACCCTAGCAACTGCATATTAAAATGATATCAACCACTCAAAACTACATAACACACTAACATCATAGCGTTGGGTTTTGAGTTGTCTTGCTTTAATCTGTAAAAAACATTTCTGGAACTGATGAAAGAAACAAGAGTTTTCACTCACCAAATAAAAATTGTATTCATAGTAGAAGAGAGCCTGTTACACTTCTACAACCTCCCAGAGCTTGATTACATCCAAACCACAAAAAGCCGCTTGACAAACAAACTCTCATTTAATATGAATCAATCCGTTTTCTCCTTGGCTGCCCTCATCTCAGGCATGAGTGTGTTTATTTGGGCAAGATCATCTGAACACTCTAACTACTCTAAACCAAATCACATCCTCGGCAGGATCTGTTGAAATTTTGATGAGAGATCAGACAACACTTGAAGTCACTTCTTTGCAGTATTAAGGACAGGTTAGCCCTTGGGATGTAGTGTTGCTTTCGTCAACGAAAATTATGACTAAATATCGTCGTCAACGAACCTTTATTAAAAACTAAAATTAAAACAGGCCGCCAAAAACAACACTATTGGGATGTCCTGAATTTTATTGGATGCACAGAAAATCAATGGACAAATTCTAGTCGATGTAAAGTACTAGATGATGTGCAAAATGTGAAAATGTGTGATCAGTCAAGTCAGCTGTGAAAAAGCTATAAGAACCTAGAAATTATTGTGAAAATATATTGGTACAATATCTTTATTCCAAACAAAAGACTAAGTGCTCTCTTTTTTTTTTTAGAATACTAAATTGCTAAATCTCATATTAGAGGTAAAATGATACTAATATCACTACAATATTCTAGAAAATTAAACAAGAATCTGCATAAAATGTGTATAAGTATTTTCATCTTTCAATGCTAACAACCACTCAGAATATCTTAGCAACTGCACAGAAACATCCTAACAACCACTCAGAAAACACTCTGAAGCTAGCAATGCCTTAACAACCACCCAGAACACCTTAGTAACCGCACAGAAACATCCTAACAACCACTCAGAACATCTTAACAATCTTACAATAACACCCAACAGCTAGCAATGCCATAGCAACCACCCAGAACTTCCTAACAACCAAATACTAAAATGGTATCAATCACACAGAACACCTTAACAACTGCACAGCAACACCCTAACAAGCACTCAGAACATATTAACAATCTTACAATAACACCCTGCTGCTAGCAATGCCTTAGCAACAACCCACAACTTCCTAGAAACCACATAGCAAAATGCTAACAATCAACCGGAACACCTAAGCAACTGCAGAACAACATCCTAACAACCACTCAGAACATCTAACAATCTTATTGCAATACCCTGCAGCTAGCATTGCCTTAGCAATTACTCACACCTCTTTAGCAACCACATATCAAAATGCTAACAATCACAAAGAGCACCTTAACAACTGTGCATCAGTGCACTCACAACCACTCAGAAAACATAACAACTGCAAAGCAAGATCCTAACAACCACTCAGAACATCTTAATCAAATAACAACACCCTACAGCTAGCAATGCCTTAGCAACCACCCAGACCTCCCTAGCAACCACTGAATTTTTTTTTTTTAAATCACACAGAACACCTTATAAACTATGCAATGTGTTAACAGTCACTCAGAACATCTTAACAATCTAATAACAACACCCTGCTGCTAGCATTGCCTTAGCAACCACCCAGAACTCCCTAGCAACCACTCAGAACAACTTAGCGACTGCAAATAAATAAATACATAAATAAATCAATTCAACAACGAAAAAGGTGGTTTAATTTTATTAATCTTCATTGATTTGTATGCATGATTAGTCATTCAAACAGCTGTCCATTTCTTTCATGAAGACTGTGCCAATGTATCCTTAATGCATTCCATGAAACATCCAGACCACTGCAACACTCAATACAGCATCCCGAGGGCATTCAATATGCGTCTTTTTGGAAATGCTCTCAGGTGTATCTTCTCCTCTAGTGGACATAAGTTCAGTGAGCACATTTAATTCGAATCAAACGTAGCCCATTAAAGTCTTAATGTCAGCGGTTATGAACACACATACAAACATAATGTAGCTGAGGATAATGAAGTCGAAGGCATTCCACATCATACAGCGTTGGGTTCTCAACCATATGAAAAAGTGTTTCCTTCATCTCCCACAGGATAAGCGCTGTGCCACTTGGGCACCAAAGCAATAAGAGTGATAAACAGTGCGAACTGCCACTCATACAGGATAATCAAATACGCAAATTAGGATCATTAATAACTGTTTCCACTCTTCAAATCCTGAGTGGACTGTAAATCACTTCATAAATAAAAATTAATGAACAAGCCGGGGTGGTTGGCAAATCTGGCATGCAAAGAGAAGATGACAAATACCTGAAGGTAGGTGTGGACGTAGGTGTTTCGTTTGGTTTAATTTCAAAATAGTCTGCAAAAATACTCGCACGAAGGAGAAGTGAAAAACGACTTGTGATAAAGTGAGAAATGTTGCTAATCTGAGCTCCACCGCACTGTCAGAAGAGATAAATTCCACCTCCCTGCTAAATTGGACAGCAAGCCCAATTAACAGAATTTGCTGAGTGCTGAAAAGTCTCTGAGGTTGTGTGAATCCAGAATCCATATCTGCTACAATATAAAGATAGTTACTTACAGCTTTCTATATGACATTTTGTATTTTTAATTCAAACTTCTTATTTGACATAGCAGGTTATAAGATTAGCCTTTACCAAGCATTTATCCTGTTGTGTTCCATGAATGAGACTCAATGTCCCTATCAGTAAAAGTACAGTAAAAGAACATTCGTTATCCGCCTAAATTTGTGGCCATAAAGTAACCACAGCAAAACACCCTGCCAAACAGCTCTGAGCAATGTCGGTTTTGCCAACATACATTCTGAGCCAAAATCTATCATAAGAAGTCTTTCCCTCTACCTATTTCTGAGGGAGGGGCTTCATAAAAGCAGGAAATGATCAGCGCGTTTATGGGAGAAGGGACCAGCGGTGTGGAATAAAGGTAAATTATGTGAAAAATAATGCATTTTAAAAAAAAAAAAACAAGCATTAACACATGTTAGACTGCACCCCATAAACACAATCAAGCCTAGAAAAATACCACTGAACCACCCCTTTAAGAAAATAAGGATGAAGTCGAAAAAGGAAAGTCCTTGAAAGATTACTTTTGAATAACTGACAAATAATTCTGATTCAAGCTGAATGACTCAAGCTGACAAATCATTCATAATAAAACTAGAAATTTGTATATTATATATTGCATGCGCAAATATGGTCAGTTTTCAGTTTTGTACAAATTGGTGTATATATCATTTGTTAATACGACAATACATTTGTTTTTGGTTTGATGAGTCTTTAAGGTAACCAAGCTCATTATTAAACAAAAATCAGTGTGATGACTCTGTGAGGTGAAGAACCGCTTGGGCTGTTGCAATTCATCCCAGATCCTACCAAACAGCCGCGAGCACTGCGAACGACTGATTTTGTGAACCAGTTCCACCAATTCATTAAAAAACACAAGAGAACAATTTGTTTACAAATCAACCAGCCCTACAAGACTTCTCATACTTTTCTTAAGAAGTGTGAAACAATCATGAGGTTATTTTGTTGACATACCACAGGCTCCATTAAGCAACCCCAATTACTCATCAAGGTTACACCTTACCATCTAATTTGTTCCCTAAAAGGTACAAGTCAAGTTCCAGTAATTATCTTCACTCACTAATGAGGGAGACACATCACACTTTGTTTTGCAAGACATTTGTGTGAAAAGTGTCTCAGAGACACAACATCCCCGCCGTTAACAGACAATTGTGTTATTTACATATTCATTTATTTGAAAGGTGAACTTCTTGTTGGGGGAAACACTGCAAATTGATGGCTTGAAGCTGTCTCAAGCACTCAACTTTGTATTGCAGAGATGAATGAATAAAGCAACCCAAACATTTATCACTGAATAAGGCTTGTTTTTAAAAAATATAATCTGTAAACACTGATGAAACTGACAGGTTGTCATTAGTACAACCAAAATACGTCTCTTAACAACTATTTTGTTTACTCATGCAGAGACTGCTTTGAGTTTTTCATGACTTTATCTTCAAAGACTTCTTGTTTATTGTTTTGTCTGACTCACCCGCTTCTCTGGAAATCTGCATGAAGGCCTCGACACCTTTCTCGCCGTAGCTTCCCTCCGAGGCCACCGTAGACACGTAGTTCCAACCCATCGATTTCACTATGTCCACCATGGCCTGCGCCTGGAAGGAGTCGGGAGGTACGACGCGAGAGAAGAAATCGTACCGGCGGTCATCGCTCAGCTCTGGAGCGGTGGAGGCGTAGCTGATCTGCGGAATCTGAAACCAGACGAAAATAAGGTGGTTAGATTGACGGTCGCTGCGGTTGCTAAACTGAGTTGGCCCGATTTTTATTTCCTTCAGTTCTTATAATGGAAAATGATGGGAGTGTTTCCCACCGTGATTCCGTATTGAATGTCAATTACTCAAACTTTCATAGGCAATTGTATCTGCCGCCTGTCTCTTTGACACTGTCATAATATGAATGCTGGTCTACTGTGGGTTTTTGCAGTGAAACTTATATCAAATGGACACTGAGACAAGGCTGCGCTGACTTTGGATCCCGCTCTACTGACGTAAGTGATACTTACTTAAATGAGCTAATGTAACGCTACTGTCTTTTTTTTTTTCCTCAAATATTAATTTTATTGAATAGAATGTAATTTTTTCTTAAATGTATGGTTGTTGAGCGTCACTGTAATTTGTGTGTTCAATGTTGAGCTGGGTTCAAATGTTTGGTAGGAAACAAAGTTGGTAACAATTTTACTTGAAGCCTTTACGTATAACACATATATTATAGAAATATTATGATTAAATTTGCTTACAATTATTTATGAAAAGATACATTATCAATATATTTTCAAAAGTAATTGTAAACAAAGTTAAATGTATCATAATATTTGCAGATTCCTTGTTACATCTAAAATGTAAAACTTTATAAAGGTGTAACAATGAATGAATAAATAAATAAATAAATAAATAAATATATTATCATAAATTATATTATAATAAATATAGAGATAGAGAGAACGTTCAATGCAATATAAGGTGCATTATACCAAAGTTAATGCATTAAAAATACTTTTATAATGCATTATATATAAAGGCTAGTGTTACCAAAAAGTTTACTTAGCATTACACAACAAAATTATTTTCACATACAATATAAAATATACAAATAATATTAAACAAACAAACAAATAAATACATTGTAAACTCATTTAAACTAATTGATGCAAAAAAAAAACTGAATCTCCATGTTAAGATAGACGTATTAAAAAAATGTATTCTTCTTGGCAACAATGTCTGTTTGATGAAAATTATGATTCTTCCGGTTGAAAAAAAAAAAAAAAAAGCATTTAACAGCAATTACATTAATACTGAAACATATTGAATGCATCACAATACTGTATCTATATGTATTTTTAGCAATGTCCCCCAGCCCTAATCCTGCATGACTATGTGGTAAAACAAAACGTCCAATCCGCTGCAGTTTGGCATATACATAATAAAAATGTGGTGTCTGGCAGATATCAGAAACAAACAGAAATAGACTTCCACATCACCCACCAGCTGTCGGTGCAAGCTGCAGCACTACATTTATCATCTTGGACAAGCTGCATAATATACTCATTGTTTTTTAGTTATGTAATGAAACAGCGAGTGCTGCATTTAAGTCATTCACCTCAGAAGAGGTCATGCTGAGTATATACACAAACACTAAAACGGTCACTTAACACCGTTTAGCATAAAATCATCGTACCGATTCTACTCCCATGTGCTCCTAATGTACAGTCAAGGATGACTGCAACTCTGAAATTTGACAATTCAACCTCTAGGAAATGATGAACTATCTCCTGGAACAAAGCTTGTTACGAAGTTATGAAAATGTCCTTGGCTGAGGCATCAGACCCCAGATGATCATCAATGACGGCCAACAACATTCAGGCTATTTTCCAGTGTGTTCAATAACCACTTGTTTTGAGTCAAATTGCAGTATTAAAGGGGACCTGAATATGTAAATGTCTTCACACAATTTCAGATAAGCTAATCTGCAGCAGTCCTCACTAGCAAGCTATCAATATCCCGCATTATCCATCAAAGCCCAGGCACGTTTTCTATTTTCTGACAAATGCTTTGTCACATCTTCTGCGTCAGAAGTCTTGCACTCAAATTCTGAGCAATACACAGTTATATTATCAAGGCATGCAAAAGCATGCTGTGCCCAGGCTTCATATGACATTTTTTTTCTCTGTTTAATCAATAAACACAGTAAAGTAACCTTGAAATGACCCTCAATAGGCTAGTGAACAAAAAAAAAGTTATGTTCATTTCAAGTACATATCTGGGGGAAAACACATCAACATTATAAGGGGAAGTTGATGGGACACTTGGAGAAAAACAGATCCACTGTTTGCCCCCTGCAACTGGTGGGTGAACTGAAAAAATAAACTGTCCATGAATAATGATTATGGACCATGAAACGGTATTAAAAAGGTGACACTGCGAATATTTGTTTAAATCATACGATAAGTTAGCTCCTAGTACACACAAACACCATCCTAAACACTCAACGCTCTAGCAGGCTTCTAAGAAATTCAACATATCCTTTGAAAACTTCAAGACTTAACTTGCGCTCAGGGCTTTTTTTTTTTTTTTCCAATTATCTTCAAGCTTTTTGTCCATTTGACGCAGGTCTGGGATCTTTGACCAAGTCAGGCCAGATGAATTCTTCTGAAAGTTAATTCCTTTCTCTGAAGAGGGCTTCCTGCTCGACAGCCAGCTAAGTTTAGCCAAACTTTTTTTTTTTTCAATTAGCCTTTTGATCTCACTTGATTTAATGGCGAGCTAAGCTTTTCCATTAAATCATTTGTTAAGTAAGAAAATATATAAGGGACAGAAACATGGGGATGGGTGTGAGAACTGTGTGCTTTTGAGAGAAAAACACCAGCGTATTTAGTGGTACATAAGCTGAATAAACAAAAGTAACGTTCATGTTGCACTGAGAATGGTAGTCTTGCATTGAAAGCTGTTTTGAACAGTGCATTGTCCTAAAACTCTTTTGCAAGCTGTCAGTTTCTTTGCTAAATATTTCTCTTGGCACACAACTATGTTGGCTCTTACAGCGTGAATGCAATTTCTGGAAATCTCAGAACATTTTGGAAAGAAAATGCAGAACAAAGCATATTTATGCACTGAATATTAAATTTTAATTTTGTTATTGCAATGAAGAAAGAAAATGCAGCAGGGAATGGAAAAAGAGTTATGGGGAAAAGAGGGAGGAATGGAAGCTAATGTGATTAGGTTGGTTTAAACTTTTCTTGTCCCCGGCTCAAGGAGTCAGAGAGCTCATGCTAACTGCTAAGCTACAAACAGAATCAAACAACACAAACAGAGACCCAATAAATGTATAGTATCTAAAATCAATGATATTTACCACCAGTAATAAATAAAATCTTTTTTTTTTACTTCCCCCTTAAAATATTTAAAAATCCTTGAAACAAGATAAATTTACTTTAGAAGCAACACTACATAAAATATTAAGACTTGTTTTCAGAGAATGTCTCTAATACAAGAACATTTGACAGTTTTTACCATCTTTAAAGTATAAACGGTTACACTTTACTTGAAGGGATGTGCATAAGACTGACATGACACCTTCATAATCATGACATGACACATGTCATGAATATGAAGGAGGTTTTATGCATGTTTATGACAACTGTCATTAAGTGTCATTCAACAAGTAAAAATCACAATTATTTTGAGTTGGAAGCCATGGAAAATTACAAATTTTAAAGTTGTGGAAACCTAACCCTAACCCTAAGTCAGAATATGTGGCAAAACTATTACTTTCTGTAAGCCATCCTGAGACACTACCTCATTTCATGAAATCAACACACAAACTTAATAGATTCTTAATTGTATTTTTTACTTAAATGTTGATACAATGCACAATTTACAGTTCCCCCAGAGTTTTCATTCAGCTAATAATAAAGTGTCATAGTTAAAAAAAAAGTATGTGTCATTCAGAAAACTAATATATATATATATATATATATATATATATATACACACGACTGCATTTTTGGTTGTTTTATGGGAGACATTTTTGCACTACCATCACCAGCTGAAGCAATTACAGGTTGCCTCTTTCAACTCAAGTTAAGGTCCTGAAGCAAGAACTCGCCTTTCAAGCTTTCCAATTCAAAGAATTTCTTCCAGAAAGAGTTTCTTCCACCCCGCAGCAAGCTTTGACTATCCGCACCTTGAGGAGTCTGAAGGAACAGATCTCATAGCCCCAAATCAGGGTATAACAGAGATCGGCTTGAGGTGAGACTTAAGAGTTTCAAAAGCAACACCCCTCCTCATTCCTCCATCTTTCTTGTCTTTCACACTCTTTCACAGACATGCACATAATATCAAGGCCCTGGATCATAGCTTTAGCCCTTGTAAGCTGTCAACTGTGTATTTATGTGTCTGTGTGGATGACAGGAAGGGTCGTGATGAACATTGTTCGGCTTAGAAATGGTGTCCCATTATCGGACTCCATTATCTTGTCTATCAGGGTGACTGATCTGAAGGTGGCGGATACTGTGTCCACAGAATCCAGGGGCCTGTCTTGTGTCAAGTCAGGAGGTGTAAGAATAAGGTGTCCAGTCGGGCTATCCATCAGGTGAAGGTGTCTTTTATTCAGCCACACAAACAGAGCCTAAATAATTGTGTGGCATCTTGTGGCCTTCTCATTCTGAAGTGATTACTGGTGTCACGGTAGAAACTGGTGCCTAAAGCAGGATTGCCAGTGTGACGATCAGATAATTCTGGGACTGAGAAACTTGGAGGCATGTTTAACTGATGCATTTTGCTTTAATTGTCCCTCCCAAAAGAGAGAAAAAAAAAAGACTCGGCCAAGATTGTACATTCGGTGTATGCCAAAGCAGGCAAGCATTTACAAAATCCATTTTGTTTTCAAGACACTTGAGTCTTATTATCGCACCTAAATAGCTTCATACCATCTTGCGCCTCACACTTTGTGCTTATCTTCCAATGTGATTCTCCTTTCTGAATTACGATCAAACCCCTCCAAAAGTACTCGGTCCATAAATAAAGGTGCTGCGCAATCTGTATTTGAAGAACCATATTGAGAAGAGCTTCTTTAAATAAATGTCTGGACCAAGCTACCAGAAGCCAAGCAGCATCTCTCACCATCATTTTCTTTTTTTTTTTTTTGTATTGCTATCATTATTATCTACAGCTGCCTTGCGAGCTAGTAAACACTT